GGCGCACAGAGAGAAAGGGTTTCTATTGGTCTAAAAGCGAGGGCTCCACCGATTATGTAATTATATTCACTTTTGTGGCCTAGCTAGTACTATCCAATAGAAACCATGCGATCCTTACAGAATCTCAGCTGGAGATATGAAGGATCACGTGGCCATCCGGTGTATTGGAGTCACTCCACACTTTCTTTCTCCGCTAGCTATTCACGTAGCAACAAACATGATACTGGGACTTCATGGGATTAAACAACATTCGTGCCACTTGTAGTGGTAGTTCATAATCCACATCGAAGTAGTACCTCCATGGGCTCACATTGACATGCAACGCGTTGCAGTTCCAGGTGATTGCGACGGGGGCCCTCACGACCTCGCTCGAATACCCAGACCGCGTCAACCACAGTCAAAGCACCAATCATACACACAACATCTGCCAGAAAAAATGCTACCAGAAAACTGACATGAAAATATATGCTATTTCCCTCCATTTTCCAATACTCCCCCTTTAACCTTATATGTATTAACGGAATACACCGATGGCGCATAATCATCAGCATAGCAAGAAGCAAAAGCTGTTAAAAAGTGTAACAAGAGCCACGTGAGCCAACTGGTATTGGTGAGGATATAAGAAGTTCCAAGATCTGAAAACTGTCTTGTTGGACCAGAATTCGCTCTGCTGAGCATGGCGAGATCCAGGTACGTCTGGCGTCCGTATATGCGATCTGCAAGACAGTCATACGCATCAAATGGTGAGATACGATCGAAACCTGATTGCCAGCTGTGCACACAGACGCTTACTGAAGCTACCCACTGCAGAGTCACCCGATTCCCACCGTCGAGTTCGTATAGGAAGGCCCTGTGGGTCTAGTAGTCAGTCAGCCTTGGCTTTGCAGGTCTGTATGGCGTATTGTTGAACGTGCGGTGTGTGTACTCAGTACGGAGTACTCTATACACTAGTGTGTAGACGCCAAGGAGCTAAGGTACTAGGGCAAGTTCAGCTGACAGGGTCGCGTCTTCACTTTCTTCGACCATTGAGCTTCCTTTAAATCCCCTAGTATTGCGGTAACTCGGTTCGGGGGTTTGTTGTTGATATCCTCTGATTCGGAGGTCGGTCACATTATGTTGATTGCATGGCTGGTCTTTCTATTCGTGGAAGACTCGCTGGCCTCTAACTCGACAGCTCTGGTTAGTTGGCAGCAGGAAGGGAATGGCCGCTCTGCATGGGACATCCTATGGCCATGCCTGACAACTATCTTTGCTTGCACATGGACCATCCTCCACTTCGATGTTTGGCCCCGAAATGCCTGTTACAGATGGGTTTGGCTCTTATCATTACGGGCAGGCATTATTGCCATCTTAGCGCCCGAGATGGTCTTCTGGTTCGCAGCTGCGCAGCGCGACTATGTCAAAAGACTTAGGAAAGTGTGCAACGCTGCTCAAAAAGAAAGAGACAACGAGGTGGCGGAGCCCAAAGTATGGCTTTCGGAGCACACTAGGCCCCTGGGACAAGCACATAATCTACACCATATCGATTTGGTTCCAGTCAAAACGGAGTGGTCCCTTCCCCAATGCTTTTGCATTGTTTCAGGTGGGCTGGCTATCCAAACGCAGGATGAATGGATTTACACTGTACGATTTACGGAGATGAAAGCATTCATCCAAGCCGGCATCCTCCATTGCTCTGACTTCCGGGACCAGGATATCGAGGACCGGGCGAAAGTGGATCCCTTCGCTAAAGGATTCGCTATTCTCCAGAGCACTTGGTTTCTATGCAATATCATTGCAAGATGGGCGTCCCATCTCCCAGTCTCCCCGATCGAACTGTCGACCGTCGCCTACGTTGTCTGCGGTGTCTTGATCTATGCCGTGTATTGGCATAAGCCCAAAAATATGAGCACGTCAATCAAGATCCATCTTCACTATACCCGAGCTACTCTACCGGCTGAGATACACGGTTTGACCGAGTCAAACCCCGAGGGATGGGTTCATCTCCGGGCACGCATCAAGAATGAGGGCTGGCTCTCGCTTACATGGAGGATCATCAAATCGCCTTTGCTTCGAATAGAAGACCCGGCGGGTATGATAGCGAAAGCGGAGGAGGAGCAGAATTTTCTCGAGAGGGCACCGTCGGAGGACATACTGTTCGCTGTGATGACTACTTTTGTCGCCAGCCTTTTCTGCGCTATCCACGTTGCTGCGTAAGTTCCTCAACGCAGGGCTGTTCGTTTCTACCGATGAACGCCATAAAAAAATACGAAAGACTAATTCCTTTCCTTTCGCCCGCACAGGTGGAAATATGATTTCCCGTCCTATGCCGAACGAATATCGTGGCGTGTCTTCTCACTATCTTCGGTTGCTATGGTAAATATTTTTAGCGCTTCGAATAGCATGTTCTATTACGCCAAATATCTGGAGTCATACGGTCTGCTGCCTCCATTTATGAGGGTCTCCACGCGCCCGGATGGCATCGCCTTTCGAATCTGCCTGGTGGCGAGCTCTCATGTGTATGTTATTGTCCGTCTAGGGATGACGGCTCTTGTCTTTTCGTCATTAAGGGCCCTTCCTATGGGCTCTTATACAAGTATTAAGTGGGTGACAACCATACCACATTTCTCATGAGTCACCGACACCATGTTTCCAGCGAGGTTCAGACTCGAAGTCGAGTGCCTAGAACTGTATCTTTGTTACTTTCCAAACACAAAGAAGCCATTGGACCTCTTGGATTGAAGAATCTGCTATTCAGAGAAGTCTTTCTTGTTCCATTATTTATGAGGAAGTCATCCAATGCTATCTAAACGTATGTACTGGATACCATGAATTGTACGACATGACTCAAACGCTTTTGCTTCTCGAAGTCCATATTTATACTCAAAATTGGCAATTTGAGCATGCACTTTTGGTTCCTCACGAGACAACCGCCAGTTTGCTTCGGACAGGTTTGTTCTCTTCCATGCCAGGCTCTGGGAACCCAGACACATGAACACCCTTCCGGAAAAGAAGACAATGTGTCGAACCACCAAAATGGAACATACCGAGCTCATCTCCCTTCTTCAGTCTATCTCCCTCCTTGGCAGTGATATCACAAGTCGAAACCTCCGCCATACCAACTCCAATAAATGCGACCAAGCCAATAGCCGGCTCATCCGCTTCAATAAAAATAAGGGCCCGCGTCGCAGTTGAAGTAATATATGCCTGGGAAGTAACCTGGCCCGCTATATCAATATCCTTCTGCTCGGGGTGCGGGTAGCCAAGGCCTTCAAACAGCGGTTCTGAATAGTATGTGCCATCAACAACATAAGCTTTAACAACTTTCCCACTGGCAGGCGAATGCCAGCGGTGATAGCTCAACGCACTGAGGTGTGCCTGGTAAACAGTGCCGCCAACAAACTGCGACGCAAGGGGATCATGGCCCAACATGTCGAGCACAGAGTAGGGCTGACTCTTGATCCAGAACTTGTCACGAGCACGAGCATGCGGCGCAATCCGATATGGTTGTGATTCGCACGCATTAGCGATAACCTTTCCATCATCCGGATCTTCGACGGGACGCATTCCCTCCTTGAAGGTGCGGGTGAAGAAGTGATCCCACGACTTGAATCCATGATTTGGCGCAGAAGGGTCACATTCGAAAATATCGTGGAATTGCAAATCCGTCGCAGCCAGCACGCCTATCTTTGCAACGGCTGTGAGATCCCGACGGCCGGTTTTACCGAACCATCCGTGAGGGGTGTCGTTCAGCACCTCAGCAGAAGCGGGAGAGCGCAGGAACTCGGCCCACACATTCAAGATCTTCTTGATCATCGCGTTTATATCGGGATCTAGGAAGGCCGCATACCCGCTGGGCGTACCCATTGGCCAGTCGAGGACGGCAGTGATAGGCAACCCGACTAAACCGACGCGGTGTGCCTTGTCAGTCCAGGAAGGCGCAGTGGTGAGGAGGTGATTGATAACATTCAGGAAATGGGAGTAGTCGCGGATTTCAGGGTTGCCTGTTGGGTCATGGCCGTATCGCTTGTTGCGTGGGACTTCGTTGAACATGGAAGTCAAGAGCATGTATACGCGTGTGTTGCTTTCGATGATTTCTTTGAATTCCTTTAGGACGGGGTGGAGAGGTTGCTCCTCGCCGTCGTCGACTTTCTTGATTATTCCCCCAAGCCATTCTTTGTGGGCTGTGTGGTCTGCTGGCATCCAGTTGCCGACCCTTTGGAATGTGAGGGACATGGGCTTTGGTAGATTGCATGGATGTCTTACCTGTGAAGGTGGTGTTCTGAATTACGTTGTGCCATTTTCTGAAATTAGTAGGAAACTAAGTTATGCTGAAAAGCTTGACTATGAGAATCCTCTGGGCGATGGCCGGATCAGATATTTATACAGTGTTCTACAATGTCGGGTAAACACCCATATGTTACATCAGTATGATGCTCCGGGAAGAACGAAGTCACGCATCGCTTCTAGGGGGTTGGAAGAAGCTTGCATGCGGCTATATCCGATAGTCAATGAACTCATGATGTCCATCGCAACTCATGGATCTCACAGATTCTAGCTCCAGGGCTATTCACATGGCGATCGAGATGATGGTGACTTTCCGATGTCCCGGACGTTCTGGGCGAACTCATACAGATCTGAGAAGATGGCGGCTCCCTTTCTACCTAGGTATGTGGGCGAGAACAACAATGGCAATATGAAAAGCAAGAAGTGTAAACGGAATCCAGTGCCCTCCGGGTTATGAGCCCGGCGCTCGTTCCCCTTAGCTAACATGCTGATTGGTTGGAAATACTTAGCTTCGGTATATTAAATAAGAGGATATTAACGAATATCCCAAGGATGTATGAATGGACCCTTCCAAGGTTAGTCCTGCTTTTGAGTCAGGTTACCAAAGGAATCTCCCGAGGTTCAAATGTACTATTTACATTGAAGAACGCTGAAGTTGACTGTTGGCATCGCTATCGGCTACGCATTGTACCCGTGCTAAAGAAATCAGTAAATTCACATGTATACATGTAGTCTAGGTTAATATCCCTACATAAATTAAGATCCAAAACTTTCTTGACGCCAAAATATAAATCGTCCCTTGGCCACCCATCTCCCCCACATGGGTGTGTAGCTCACGCGCCATATCGTCAGAGAAGACTGCCGCACACCGCTCACCATGATAGCTGAATATCTCAACGCCACTACCTACACCTATACCGAAGTACTCCAATTCAGCTCGAGAAGCTCGCCATCAATAGGTTCTGCAATCCATTATGCCCTCTGAACAACGCCGAGAATGGGTTTCTCTTCATAACCCCGAGACGCGCCGTGCGACCTTAACAGAGATCTCGAATGTGGTTGTGGTATGTGCTCTTCCAGAGTTACAACGCGTCTCGAACTTCAGCGAGCGATTTGCAGTTGACAAGCCCGAGGCGATAGTGAATACTATCGTTGAGAAAATGTTTCACACTACTCGCTCCATGGTGTGGAATTTGCGAGCTGGTCGGGAAACAGAAGTGAGTAAATGGTTACTTGGGTGAAAAGAGGGAAAGAGAACGGTATTGCGACGCCTACCAGTAAGGAATTGGTAGAAAGGGTTGAGATGAGACTGAGTCGAAATTAAATCCCTCAGCAATACAACATACAACATAAATGGGTGTAGAGGGAGAGCGCCGGTTTGATCGGATGATCCATGCAAGCACGGCAAGTTACAGGGCGTTTCGGTGAGAAGCACAGCATAAAATTTGCATAAGTTGTTGACCTTGGGCGGGCGCGAAATGCGACATAACGTGAGAAGGGGACCGAGCCCCGAGTCCCGACGATGGGACCGGATCGACCGGTAGACAACTAAGCCAGTGGAGACTAAGGAATTTTATCTACGTATTGCATGTGCATTTTTCAATCCCCACGGCACGCACAACGGAATCTGAGGAAAATATGACTAGCGGACCTAGAAGTTTTGGAGCGAGTTGCGGTGGCATATGTATGAACTCGTTGGGGAAGGTCGAGGAACACTGGTTCAGGCACAGGATATTATTGGAAACGATTGTACAGCCGTGAATGGAGTCCCGAGGATCTCCCAGCCAATCATACCTTCGGGATAAACTTCGGGGCAAATGTCGGGAATCCTGCTGGAATCGGACTCACCGAGAAGTACCAAGCAAGGTACACCGGCTAGTCCGGTCCCGAGTGGGTCATTGCGAAGTTTAATAATTCAGACGTGAATGGATAACTACCTAGGTAGTTAACTAGTTAGTTACTCCATACTCCGCGTAGTATAACTTCACTTACAAGTCGAGTTCTGAAACAGATGTCTCTTATCAGACTGGGCAAATGAATTATCACTCAGAAATTGATCTTCCCTGGACTCCCTCGGGTATTCCTTCACTCGGCATGCCGGGCGCATTTCTAAAGGGTGGGGAATTACTTACCAATGATATCAACTCGGCTCGGGAGGTTATTCGGACCATCGTCGGAGATACTATATGGCAAACTTAAAGCACCTGCACTCATCCAAAACGTGAATTGTTTGGTTCCGGCGAGGTAAGTACGAGGTCTAAGCATGGCCCGATGCTGAAGCACGACAAGACAAAAGGAGAATAGGGCATAACGAACGAGGATTGGAGAGAGGATTGTAATGGAATCTCTCCCTGTGATCTTGACGGTAGTGACATCCAACAATGGGAAGAGGAGATCGCTCCAACACTAGACTTTTCACGTAGTTTTCGTCGTACCCACTTACTTCGTATTCATTGATCAACTGATTCTTATGTGTTGGCAGCAGAATCGATCATTACCTAGAATTATCCTTCCCCACCCTCCGTATAATCCCGCAGCCCCGGTTCTCATCAAATTCTGGAGTCTGGAGCATGACGCAAATCAGGCGAGCTTTCAGCAGGAACGCTTAAATATTATCGCCAATCCCCATTATATTGATTCTTTTCTGAACACGTTCTCCTCCCTTCACGCTCCAGACTACATACAATATGAAGCCCACCAAAAATCCTCAGCCGGTATCGGCTTCCCATAACGAGAACGTTCCCTCACTTGACAATACCCCAGTGCACGAGGCACACACGATAAAGGGCCTGATTGTCGGTGGAAAATATCGAGACGAACTTTCACAAGAGCAAAGCCAGCACTACGACAGCAGCTTATTGCAAGAGGTCGACGTCGACCTTCCCCTCACAGCCACAAAGCCTGTACAACATGACGGCCAAGAATTCATCGTACTTGACTTCGTGGAAGGAGACAAGCAGAACCCCTTCAACTGGAGTTCAGGCCGAAAGGCGTTCATCAGCGCCCAGCTTTGCTGCATGACACTTTTCATCGGTCTCGCCACGACAGCATACAGTTCCGGAATTTCACGCATGGCAGCAGAGCTAGAAACAACAGAGCTGATTGGAAAGCTTGGTCTATTCACCTTCAACTTTACCTGTGCACTTGCGCCCCTTTTCCTCGCTCCGTTCTGTGAGCTGGCCGGTCGACGAGTGATCTATATCGGTGCCTACGTCTGCTTCTGTCTTATGTTCATCGGCCTCGCGCTAGGCAAGAACATCGCCACGATCCTAATCTGTCGTGCTCTGCTGGGTCTGTTTGGTTGTGTTGGCACAATTCTTGTCGGTGGCACTTTTGGCGACATGTATACACCGGAACACCGTGCTATCCCGATGGCGTCTTTCTCCTACATCGCAATCCTCGGTACAGTCGGTGCGCCCATCTACGCTGGCTTTATCGACCAGGCTCTCGGCTGGCGCTGGCTCGAAGGTATCCAGGGTTTGGCGAACATTCCCCTTGGTATCATCATTGCCATCTGCCTACCCGAGACTCGTGGCAGCGTGTGTCTCACCAAGCGTGCGAAGGCAATCCGCCAGGCCACCGGTGATAACCGTTTCGTGACCCACAACGACATTGAAGCCCCCGGGATCAAGCACATGTTGCACAACTCCTCCGTCAAGGCTGTGAAGATGCTCTTCAGCGAGCCCGTCGTCTTCGCCTTTGGTCTCTGGATCAGCTTTGCCTGGTTCCTGACTTTCCTCTTCCTTTCCGTTATCCCAATCACCTTCCAAGAGAAGCGTGGCTGGAACGAAGGGGTCTCGGGTCTTCCCTATATCTCTCTTTGTCTCGGAACCACCATTGGCTTCGGTCTCAACTTCTTCCAAATCAGAAAATACCAATCCCTCACCTCCGACCCGAACGCTGAGGTTGCACCCGAAGCTCGTTTGTACGGTGCCTTATGCGGAGCCGTGTGGTTACCGATCGGACTATTCCTCTACAGCTTCACCCAGTACGAGGGCCTCCCTTGGATCGGTCCCGTCATCGGACTGGCCCTCATCACCATCGGTATCTTCTTCATCTTCGAGTCCTGCTACAGTTACACTGCCGATTGTTACGGAGAGCACTCTTCCTCCGCCATTGCTGGTCAAGGTTTCATGCGTAACACACTTGGTGCTGTGTCGCCTCTATTTGCTTCCCAGTTCTTCCACAACATGGGCAGTCAGTACGCTGGATTGCTACTGGCATTAGTGGCGACCGTCTTGACGTTTATTCCGTTCGTCCTGTTCAAATTTGGTCCGGCGCTGCGCGCACGCTCGAGACTTGCCTCTGCCACTGTGAACGGGACCGACTAAACGTTTAGTCATTTTTGTGAAATTAGCATATCAAGTCATATAGAATTGTACAGTTGCATGGAGACTAAGGGTTGGGGGAAAATGAAAGCCATCATTATGGTTTATAGACAATGATTTGGAGATGTCCTAGATTGCCATACAATTTCTATATCGTTGTGTAGATGTGATGAGTGCAAGAGGACAGCGTAAGATTGTGTAGCCATATTCGTTGCCAACAGACTGAAGCCCACCTATACACTTCAACACTGATCCTTGGCATACTAAGTGAAGTGTCGGCAGATTACTGAGCAAGCGTTGTGGTATACATCCGTGAATGGTACGTCCACCCATCGCAGGATCGATTACCTGCGTACAAGGAAAATTCGGCTCATCGCCTGACAAAACAGGCACCAGCTGTCGGTGGCGGGATATGTGGGGTAACCAATCGGATGAGGGCGGTAAGAGTCCGTCCGCAGAAATGCTTGCAAATTCAGCAGGCGGTGTGTCCGAACGGTCCACGCTCAAAAAATTTCCCACGATCATCTCCAACTTAACCTCAGCTACATTCCACTTATTTTCCGTTGCAATTACACGGCCGTGATCCACCGAGTGAGCCATTTCTTAAAGATCTGGTGTTTGAATTCCCAACTACAATACAACAATGGCCGAAGATACCAGCGCAGCGTGGCCCATCGCCGATGAGGCCCTCTCCCAGAGCCTCCTCGACCTTGTCCAGCAAGCCGCTCACTACCGTCAGCTGAAGAAGGGCGCCAACGAGTGCACCAAGTCCCTGAACCGCGGAACCTCCGAGCTCGTCATCATGGCCGCCGATACCAGCCCTCTCGCTATCGTGCTTCACTTGCCTCTTCTGGCTGAGGACAAGAACGTGAGTCAAATACCCTAAATCCTAAGCCTATAGCCTAGGACCCTACACCGAGAACCAGACTGATCATTACAATTAGGTTCCCTACGTTTACGTTCCCAGCAAGATGGCTCTTGGCCGTGCTACCGGTGTCTCCCGCCCTGTCATTGCTGCCTCCATCACTACCAACGAGGCCAGTGACCTGACCGCCCAGATCCGCGCTATCAAGAACCAGGTCGAGCGTCTCATGATCTAAGATGTTATCTTAGACACGATCGGGTGGAAGACTGGAGTCCGAACAAGTAGTATTTGGAAATGGCTGTTAGCTCTACCAGCGGATTTCTTCTGTGATATGAGGACTTATTGCTGTCGAGGTGCGCAACTGGCTCGCTTAGCTTTGGAGGCTAGGTTTTGCTTGCGTATATAGCCGGGACAATTCAGACACTTCGAACTTTGAACCGATGTCGTAGTGGATCGTGTGAGGTCATTTCATTGTAGAGGGTTGTAGTTTCCCGGCCATGTTGGCAGATTATGTGGTTACCAAGGTTTACTCACTTGAGCATTACAATGTTGGGAGTGTCACCTGGGGATACAGCCCCGGGTTTTTCGCCTCTAAAAACACTCGTTTTGGTGTGAAATATTCTATAGAGGACTTCAAAGGCTGCATTTCTACCTGTATATCCAGGTAGCTATTCGTACCGTTTTCTCTCTATCCCCGATTTTATGAGGTGATCGCACAAAAGCGAGTGACCCAGTCCAAAATGCGATTAACTACAACCATATATCTCAACAACAACGTCCTTAGTTGATTTCATATTCACTCGACTGACTGTCGATAAGCCTTTTAACTGATTTCAATCAATTTTAAGGGAATCAAAATGTCGAAATATGATGGTATTAAAAAATTACATCACTCTAAGTCGGAAATATATATACCTTCATCGCCAGATTACAAAACTCTCTAGGCTCTACACTGTGCCTAGATACCACCTAAAAATCATTAGCCCATAAGGAAACGCCCCCATAGAGCACCGTTGTTGAGATATCGAGTTGTAATTTATCCCATTTTATGTGTATCGGACTGCCTCACTTGGATGCGAAATACGTTAGACTGATCGCCATTTCGATTTACTGGATTTAGCACATGCACTGGTAGATTCGAGACTATTAATAGAATACAAATCTACTTGCAAAATGTATGTTTATTTGAAGAAGTTAATATCTTTCGCTGATGGACTATAGAACCTCCCACAGTTAGAAGGAAGGCGAATAAACAGGGCCCTCTGTTGCTACCATTGCTACTGGATTCATCTAGAGCTCAACATAGTATTTAAACTATCGACCCTCTTCGCCGCACAAAATATATTAAAGAATTTTGAACACACCAATCAATATAACGAAACTTGTAGAGTACAAAAGAACACATGAGTTATCATTAAGACTTGCGATTTAATTACACAACTTCAAACTCAATTGTGCCCCAGCCTTCAAATGTACAGGACCAATGGCCATTCGCCTCCATCGGCACAGCCTCCAAGCAACTTCCAGGCATAACGACCTGTCCTGCTTTGAACTCAATATCATATTCAGCTAACCGGTTTGCTAGCCATGCAACTGCTGACAAGGGGTTACCAAGGTTATTCTTTGTGTTTCCTGACATTACCTCCTCGCCATTGAATTTCAGGGAGCCCCGGGTGTCGCTGAGTGTGAGCTCGGTGAGCTTGCGAGGGGTGCCACCAAGGATAATGGCTCCACAGGAGCCATTATCTGCCAGTGTGTCTGGAAGGTCAATTGCCCAGTTCTTGACGGGAGAGTCAATAATATCAATAGCGGGGATCGCGTAGTCAATGGCGTTTGATAACATCCGCAGCCGTGACGTTCGGACCTTTGAGGGAGCTTTGTAGCACGAAGGCAGGCTCTAGCTCAACAAATGGCTTGATGAATTTGGCACGCGGGATGGCGGTGCCTTCATAGATGAAAGAGGCTTGCATGTAGGAATCCGTAGTCAGGGTGGTCGAGACTAAAGGCGGCTTGCATCACTTTCGCAATGTTGCCAAGTTTGTACCCAACCAAACGGTCGCCATTTTTAACAGCATATTCGGAGTCGATCTCTTAGACTTTGAATCCGTCATCAGCATTGACACTAGGTCAAGTCTTTGTTGGTGGATCAATGGGGTTTGCTTCAGCTCGTGCTGCGAAGGGCTGCTGCAACATCACTCAGATCGAAAGCAGTCATGTTTGGGCGAACTGGAATGGTAGGAGAGGAAGGGAAGAGTTTGGGACGTTGACATATAAGCATCTTGTAGGAGTGTCGAGCTATTTAACCATAACGTAGATATACTCTTACCTCGGGGAAGAAGAACCCGATCGATCAGTGATTGCTTCACACTTGATCTGCCCTGCCTTGTGTCGGTCCGAATATCGAATCAAGCGATGTAGTTGACAGAAAGATAAGCCTCGGGTGAGAACCCGAGACCCATCCGTTTCGAGGTCAATGATCTCAACCGACCGGAAAAGCCCTGGCAACATTGAAGTGCCCACTGTCATCGGAGATCGGGATTAACCTGAGATCCGAGCGGGTCTATGTCCCACTACCGCGAGAGGTCACGCGGAGTCTGGGGAAGGGGAATGTGGAGAACCGGTCTTCAAGTTATATAAATCTTCCGAAGGTTCTCAGAGCCGCACAACCTCACACCTTCTAAGGAAAGGAAGATTTGAGTTTGGAACAACTAAATGGCGCCTTTAGCAAGCTTCATTGACGTGGAACCCCGAGTTGTGATTGGCCCAGCAACCAAGAAGGCCACACGACCCTCGAACCCGTTGCCTAAGTCCTTGATCCAGGGAGCTAAGCTCGCGAAGAAAGATGTCTTCGACCCTGCTAAGCACTGGAACTTCCAGCCTCCAAAGTCAATTTACACTATGGAGCAAATTGGATTGAAAGGACATGGTATCTCGCCTAACGCAGCAACCGAGCCGTTCCCGCTCTTCACCCAAGAAGCCATCGCGCAAATGCGAGCTGAGATCTTTGATGAGAAGGTGCTTGCAGAGCTGCCAGTACTCTTCCACCTTCAACAAGAACATGGTTCGTGGTATGGGCGCAGCGTAAGTACAATAACGGGCATATTTACTCGAGAGCGGTCTAGTTAATCCTGATTTCCACAGACGCGCGCCTTTCACATACGATGCCTGGAAGTCACCAGAAGTCCTGGCAAGAATCTCCGAAGTCGCCGGCATCGGACTTGTTCCCTCTATTGACTTTGAGATTGCCAATATCAATATCTTAATCCGGGATGAGAAAACAGACGTGGAACACACCGTACCTATCGTGGCCGATGAAGATCTGCCGGCTGTTAGCTGGCATTACGATAGCTTCCCATTTGTGTGTGTGACGATGCTGTCTGACTGCACTGGGATGGTCGGCGGAGAGACTGCGTTGAGAACCCCTAATGGAGAGATCATGAAGGTTCGCGGACCTGCAATGGTGAGTGAAAGTCCCTTCAATGTATGAGGCTTCTTGTTTAACGAGTGTATCCTTTACAGGGAACTGCCGTCGTAATGCAAGGACGGTATATCGAGCATCAGGCTCTGAAGGCATTGGGTGGTCGTGAACGCATCAGCATGGTCACTTGCTTCCCGCCAAAGTCCCCTCGGTTAAGGGTGAGACTGTTCTGGTGGGAGTGCGTGGTATCAGGGAAATTTCCGAGCTGTACACCTAATACACCGAATATCGGCTGGAGATCTTGGAGGAGCGCATTCGCCACCAACTAAAGAAGGAGCGGGAGTGCGGGATCGCCAAGAAGCCCTTCAACGTCCCTCAGATGAAGGAATTCCTTGCCAAACAGAAGCTATTTATCGAATCAATGTTGGAGGAAATTCAGGAGGTGGATTGACTGGTAGGGATCTGTTGATGGGAGGACGAGATAATGTAAATTAGTGTACATAGGGAATGAAGAAACGGACTGAGTAGTTTCTATTAACTTCCCATTTCTTCCATTTATTGTAACCTAGAAGGAAAAAGTGACAATTATTAATGATCCATGTACAAGTGTATTCATCAGACCTACCTAGGTAGCCATCCTGCCACACCGTCACACTTTACTTTTCGTGCAAACAGGCTTTGTGATTTCCATCGCATAGGCTGATATACAAGGCATGAGACTTTCTACCCTCGCTTATAATTATAGATACATAAATAGTTATTAAGATCAACATGGAAATTGGAAGGAGCTATTAACACCTGTCAAAAGTGATCCGGATAGCTCCATCACAATACTATTATTTCGCTCAAAATACAAACGGCAATAGATCGTCCACTCTGCTACATACCATTCTTCCCTCTACTCTCCCGTCTGGCCACGCCTATCAAAATGGATATCTATCATTTTGACCGGTCTGCTTGAACTGTGCTTACAAAAAAGGGTTAATAACAGAGAGCACGAACCTTGGAATATTGTTACCATGGAAACCTCGAATGGAAGCCGAGAAAACTCAATTTCGAATGACGGCCCCCCCCCCGCCAACGAGAAAATAAGCCTCACGAGGTCGGCTTCTACCCCGGAAGGCTAGATGTCGGGGCTTTGCCGAGTTTGTTCTCCGGGATGTCCCACGGAAACGAATTCGATTGAGAATGCGGGGACCCCAGGATTCCGAAATCTCTGGGGAAACCAAGCCAATTGGGTTCGTTGGATTAATAGTACATCTTCAAACTCATATAAAAGGTTGGCACGCTCGACTAGAGTCTGTTCGAATTCTATCACAGATTCAAATATGGATCCCAACAAACTCGAAGACTCCAAGGGAGACCTTACCGCTGTATTCTCTCATCATGACCTTAACCAACGATGTGTTCGGACAGTTGAGAGAAGATGGTCCGAACTTTCGCAAAGTACGTGTGCCAATTCCGCTGAAACAACGGAAATGTAGCTAATTTGATACCACCACCTAGCACTCTTCGTTTGACAAACTCTTTCTCTGCAATTCCACCTGTGACCAAACGACGCCAAAAAAACTTCCAAGGCTTTTGGAGGCTATTAACCGATCTACGATCTATCGCAACTACACACAAAATTCAAGAAGGTATAGGAGTGAGAGTTTTGATTCTGCTACCTAGTATCGGAACAACTGCAAGTCTTGGAATCGAAAAAGTGCACATGTCACATGTGGATAGTGTCTACCAAATCCCTCACCACAGCTGATATATAACACGCTCTAGCGACTCGACAGAGCCCACTACTTGCAGTACTGATATCAGGAACGTCAGCGTTATAGTTTGAAATATCGGAGGATACAAATGACACACCCAGTTTTCGCTTCCGGATTGCCGGACGCAAGTTTTGCCTTCGCAGCATTGGCCCTGGCCGTCACCGGGGACATTATCACCGATTCTGCAGAGGTCCCCAGGACAATGGCAGCGAGGGAAGTCAGGACAGTTACCAGCGGCCATAGCCAGGCCGAGGAAAGAGGCGATCAAGAACATATATTTCATTTTGCTGGACTAAGGGAGTTAGTGAAAGTGTTTTCCAAGGTTGAGTGAAAGAATGGTATATACTGGACAGTTGTAGTGGAAATAATCCTAGTGAAAGATAGTAGTCTTGAGAGATAATTGTTGATAAGGAAATTGAGATCTTGGGGAGAATATCAAGCTATATTTATAGCTTTGAGTGCTGCACCAGGAGTCAGTATTAATGTTGAATTATTACATTATTCTGTTTGTAGAGAATGAAGATCATCTTGGCAAGGCTAGGCAGCCAGACGGCTTGCTGAATAACTTGGGAGGCCTAATGCTGTACTCGGTAACATGAAGCACTTGATGCACTGCCCAAGAGGTCTGGACGCAAGGCCGGAAGTAAGCACACTTGAAGGATCATGCAGAGTCCAGCAGGGACAGCTCACGATTGAGAGAGAAATGTGGGGGAGTGGAACAGACTCGTAACCAACATTCAGATGGTGTTCCTAATTGGCACATCTCCCAAGGCTCATCACAAGTTGACGCTCTATCCAGGCCACCCGCTACCACATATGTACTGTACGCGGTAATCTGCACAGTAATCACCATCTAAGGAGCTTGATCTGCGCCAACGCCTTAGCAGTATGACCATGATAGATCCCCACAGTAAGCATTAGTCAAACCGATTTCGAAAATGACTTTAGACAAACTGGTTACTTACTAGATGAAAAATTTATCTTCATCTAGATCCATATCACTTCAAGGGTGAGGATGTTTTGCTTAAGAAAATTGATACTAGTATGAAGTAAGTAGGTTTGTATAGGGCGTAGATCAAACTTCATACTATCACTATGTATATCTGATTCAGAGTCTCGATGCGATTCGACATTAAAAAGGCACTGGCAGCTGGATAAAAATGAGACTAGCAATTCATGGAAACTGGTTGAACTGATGTCGATCCACCCTTTATCTGCCATCCTCATGTCGTACAGAAGCCAATAAAACGGCCATGCTTCAGGCGTCCCACGAAGGCGGGGAGAAGATCATTTCCATTTCCATTATCTGGAACTGAGACATGCTTCTCCAAAGTGGAGCAAGGAGTGGCTTAGGACCAATCATGTAGTACCACTTATAATGCCCTGCGAGCGTTATTCTAGACTCGTTTCGAAGAATCAGTCCTCATCACAAAGTCTCAAAGCATGCATTGACCGAGGCAGGCCGCTTCACCTTCTCATCTAATGCAGGCTATCAAAGATATTAGACTAAAGACTTGAATCACAGGCGTTTATAAGAACAATATTTGAAGTCTGTTCATATGAGACTACGTCTTGGGGCTCAGTAACACTGACCCGAGGGCGGAGGGCACAGAGCCAGAGACCCAGCAGATTCCAAGACCGCGGTCTCAAGACCTGCCAGGC